TGGGGGGAGGGGGGAGGCTGTGAAGGGATGTGAAGGATAAACAAAGGAGGAGGCTGCAATGCTTGATAAGAAGTGTATGCATTATCCTGCCCATGTAATTGTAACCCCTCTGTACAGTATGTTCACAAAAAATAAAAATTAAAATTAAATAAATAATGCAAAAAAAGAAAACAACAACCAAAAAAACATCTTGCAGATAATCATCATCAATTGAAAAATATTTATAGAAACAATGATCATAAGAGCAATACACTAGGAGCTACACAGAAACCCATTGACAGAGACCATTCAGAAACATTACAATAAATGAAAATAAGTAAATTAGAGCTACATGCATCTACATAGACTATCTCAAATTAGAATATTCTATTTCTATATATTAATATCAATAAATATAATACAAATACTAATATATCTCTAGTTCTATTTCTGAGGTTGTCTCAAAACTCCAAAATGATGCAAAACTACTTAAGATATTCATAAATACACTTGTATATCATAAAATATGAAAAAAGCTAGAGAAAGAGAATTTAAGTTTTTACTCTTGAGGTTTTTTTTTTTAATGCGACCCACTTTTTTAAAAAGTAAGTTTTTTGTTGTGACCAAATACATTGTGCATGTCATTCTTAGGTTTTTGGTCTTGAGGTTGACCCTAACATTATTGTAATCTCTCTCAGTCATATCAGAAGTATTTTTAAGATCACGGTTCCTTTGCAGTCTTAGTCAGATCCAATTTTCATACATGGAGGAGAATATATTCTCTACTTTGGGGGTATATTCTTTTTATAGTTATTATCACAAAGGACTGGGAAGAAGTGTATATGGTAACTGGTAATATTTCCTCTGTCATTTTTGTTTGTTCGTTTTGATAGTACTAGGATCTGAACTCAAAGCTTCCCACTTGCAAGGCAGATGCTCTAACATTTGAGCCATACTTTATCCCTTTTTGCTTTCATTACTCTTTTAATAACATTTTACAATTATGTCTAGGCCTGCCAGGCCCATAATCCTATTTATGTTTCCTATATAGGTAGAATGATAAATAAACACTATCATACACAGAATTTTACTGATTATTATATAAAGTTTCAAGTTATCCGAGTTGGCCTGGAACCACAATCCTTGAAATCTATGCCTTCCGAGTAGGTACAGATTATTGGCATATGCCACCTCAACTCATTCTATTTTCTTTCTTAATCTAGGTAGGCTAATAGTAGGTTGTTAATTGGTCTTTTTTACCTTTTTGTTTTGTTTTGTTTTTTGTCAGTCGTGGGCCTGAACTCTGGGCCTGGGCGCTGTCCCTCAGCTCGTCAGCTCAAGGCTAGCACTCTACCGCTTGAGCCAAAGCGACACGTCCGGCTTTTTCTGCATATGTGGTGCTGAGGAATTGATCCCAGGTCCTCAATCATGCAAGGCAAGCACTATACCACTGAGCCACCTTCCAGCCCTGGTCTTTTTGCCTTACAAGTCAGAGATATCCTTTAGTGTATGTGTTTGTGTTTAGTGTTTAATAAGTTCTGAGTCTAGTTATTTCTTCCAGACATTCCTAAACTGTCTTGTTTTCAATAAGTCATTCTTTCTCTCCCTCCCTCACTGACCCTCTTCTCTGGTGCTGGTACTGGGGCTTGGACTCCAGGCTGAACACTCTTACTTGGCTTTTCAGATCAAGGCTGGTACTCTAACATTTGAGACACACCTCTACTTCTGGATTTTTGCTAGTTAGTGGGAGCTACAAATCTAAAAGACTTTTCTGCCTGGGCTGGAATCAAACCTCAATCCTCAGATCTCAGCCTCCTGAGTAGCTAGGATTACAGGTGTGAGCCACCAGTGCCCAGCTTCATTCTTTCCTTTTTGTAGAACAATAAGTATATTTCCTCTCAAACACACTGTTTCAGCATTTAAAGACACCCAAGAAATAATAGGGTGTATGTGTGTGTGTGTGTAAGAAATAATAGGGTGTGTGTGTGTGTGTGTGTGTAAGAAATAATAGGGTGTGTGTGTGTGTGTGTGTGTGTGTGTGTGTGTGTGTGTGTGTTCTTTTTGCTCCTGGAAATCTGTCATTACTACCGGACTGAATAACATGCTAAGATTTACCACAATGACATAAGCTCAGATTTCTGCAGTGAACAGCAAATCTGTTTTAGGGCAATCACACATAGTTTAGGAATAAAATAAAAAAGGATTTCTTAAGCGTTATTCAGATACAATTAATGGCAGTATAGATGCCACCTGCCTCCAAGGTTACAGGTAACAGATATCCATTACATGCAAATGGTACCAACCAGGAGCCATGCTGGCAAGTAAGAGCTTTCAGTTTATGGCTCGATTCTGATCCAGAAAGCCAAGCAGAAACAAAGACATATGTCTTAGTCTGTTCAGGTTGCTATAACAAAATACAACAGGTTGGGTTGATTTTAAGTCAACAGTTTATTTCTCAGGGCTCTGAAGACTGGTGAGTTCAAGATCAAGGTAAGACCAGATTCTCTGTCCAATTGAAGCCTATTTCCTGGCTTATGGATGGCATCTTCTCCCTGTGTCTCAGACGGTATAAGGTTCAAGGGAGGGGATTTATGGGATTTTTTTTATATTGATACTAATCTCATTTGTTTGGGCCTTATCTCGTGATTTTATCACCCCCCCACAAAGATAAACTACATAGGGGATTAGATTTCAAATATTACTTTTTGGGGAGGATACAAACTTTCAGTATGTAGCAGCAGCAGCATTCCATATAACCAAAGCACCAAATAAAACTTAAGTTTTTAATGATATTTTTTCATGTTCTTTTTGTAATTCCTCCATCTTTATAAACAAAGAGCTATGAAACATAATTGAATCTTTCTCACTACTTCTCACCCATGTAACTAAGATGTGCTTAAAATAGAAAGCTCTAATTCACTAGAGTGCTGTGAAATTATCTCAGTAAAGAGAAGATGAGTGTGGGTGGAAAAATTCACTATTATGGAATACAAAATGACTCATATCAAAGCACATGCATTAACACAGGGTGCTCAACCCAGGGGCTCAAACACAGGGCCTTGTGCATACTAGGTAAACACTCTGCCTCTGAGCCATATTCCCAACAAAAAGCACAAACTCTAAGATTGTTAAATAAACAAACCATGACGTACCTCGTGTTTTAAATCTATTGTAAAGTCAGATTTCAGGGATTCGCTCCTTAACCTCTTGGTGAGCCTAAAACACAGAGACAATTTGGTATTTTTAGCCAAAACCATCAAGAATAATGCATTGCTGAAAGTTTCTAATACTTGAAAACAAATTAAAATATAAAGTTTAAGGTTAAAAAAAAAAGAACTGTAATTTCCTTAAGGGAGAGGACTGAAAAGCATAATCCAAGGCATGTTGCTGATATATCACTCATTAGTTCAACATCTGTCCAATAACATGAATGTACAACATAACAAATAAAATGCCTTTGGAGGGGAGGGAAAAGCCATGACCATGATAACCTCCCATTAGATAACGGGGGAGAAGGGCAGAAAAGAAAAATAATGTATACATGACACAGAAGTAAAAGTTGTTATTTAAGCCAGGCACTGTTGGCTCATATCTGTAATTCTAGCTACTCATGAAGCTAAGATCTGAGGATTGTGGTTCATAGCCATCTCCAATTGACCAGCAGAATGGCAGACATGGAGGCATGGCTAAAGTGATAGAACATAAAGCCTAGGGACAGTGGATAGGCGTTCAAGCCAGGTAGCACCATTAAAAAAAAAAAAAAGTGCAACTTCCAATAATCCCAATGAGTTATTAGCTTGTAGAATTTTTAGGGGTAAAAGGACATGGTTTCAAAAGACTAAAGTTTTCTTTCATGTTGTTTTATGTTTTCTTTTTCTGCTTAAAAGCAATCTCCCATGGCTCCTTTCCAATGGAGTTAGGCCCTGCACTCCTGACCAGCCTTGAGAGGTAGATGGATCCTCTACCATCTGGGGGCTTCTACTTCCTACACCAAGCACACTCCTTCCACTCTTCTCTCCAGATACACAGCTGGCAAAGAAGTCTACACCCAGCCTTTACTCAAGATTTTTTTCTTCAAGACCAAATCCAAGGGCACTTTTTCTGGGACACCTTTCCAGCCAGATATGCCCACGTGTATAGCAGCTTTATTTGTATGTGGAGTACACAGCCTAGCCTTATCCCATCACAGACATTAAACTCTGTCACATCTCTCTCCATGCCATCCTTCCTCGGCAATGAAAGCAATGTAAGACACAATCATCTGAACATAATGGGTACTAATGAGATCCTGCAATGAACCAAGCCAATAGGTACTTTGACTCCCAAGTATGATTACATATTTACCTAGATCACTTAAATATTATATGGCTCCATTCTTGTTTATCGACCTGCAAATTTAATTAGAAACTTAATATATCCTTTAACAGAAAGAAATAATAGTTATGTTTTTGTGTATGCCAGTCATGGGGCTTGAACTCAGGACCTGGGCACTGTCCCTGAGCTTCTTTAGCCAAAGCTAACTTTCTATCACTTGACCACAGCACCACTTCCAGCCTTTTCTTTGAGTAGCTTATTGGAAATATGAGTTTTATGGATTTTCTTGCCCAGGCTGGCTTCTAACTATAATCTTCAGACATCAACATCCTGAGTAGCTAGGATTACATGCATGAGCCACCAGCACTTGACTAGAAATAATAATGATTTTTTTTAAGGAAAAAGAAACACACTTCAAAATTTTAACTGGTTGAGCCATGAAAGCCTTCTTTTTTAAGTCTATTTATGTATGTATGTATGTAATTTATTTATTTATTTGTTAGTCATGGGGCTTGAACTCTGGGCCTGGGCGCTGTCCCTCAGCTCTTCAGCTCAAGGCTAGCGCTCTACCACTTAAGCCACTGCGCCACTTCTGAAAGACTTCTTTTAAAAATTTACTTTTTATGGAAAATTAGCGGTGGAATGAGCAATATCACCTTTGCTTAGGTCTATGGGAAAGTAGGATAAAAACTCCATCATCACTTCAGACAGAAATTAGCTCTGAAAATGAGATGGCTGAACTCAAGGAATAAATCTCCACATTGTTCTTCGGTTGCTAGTCATCATTATGTTCAATTATCTTTATTACAAACTTCTGACATGCAGCTATCTCAAAGTGGGGAGTTAATTATGCTCATCCCTTTCATTATTAGCAAATAAATGTATTTGTGCTGGTAAAACAAAACAAAAACAACAACAAAAACCCCACTCTCACAGACTTCCCTGCACAGGCTGGCTTCCAACTATGATACTTAGCCTCCTAAGCTGAACCCTGCATCGCTCAGCCAACCACAGACCTCATCTTTAATTACGGCATTGATTATTTCCATCATCCAGTTAATTTCCTCTTATTAGCATTCAAAGGGTGCTAATTGACATAATTTCTAATACCAAGAGGAAATGAAGTCAGCATATTAGCTTTAGCAGTGAGAAACAACAACTAAGAAGATCCAAAATGACTATTATATTTGTCTCTTTTTAGCTCTAAGTATGACACTAATTTCTTCTAGAATAAGTAAGAATCTCCTAATAGCATATCATTTTAAAATATATTTTGGCCACAAGATAGTGCTATCCAGATGGATTATATCATTTAATTTGATTACTTTTTTGCATCAGGAGGAAAAAAAAGGAAACACTGTCTAAAACAACTGAAAGTTTTGCATATGTTACTACGGTAGAGTCTATATTTTTACTTTGCTTTTGCTGGCAAGGGAGAGCAAAGGGAGGCAGAGAGAAGACCATGAATACTAATTAAGTACAAGCAAGCTACAGCTTGTTGGTCTCTGTTCAGTGCTGTGAAAAGCAGGATACATCGGATGCAGAAGGTTATCTGGTACCTCGTTCTCTGTTGGTGTTAGTTATGGGGGAAAATGTTGGGAATTCTCAACTTCATATGAAAGATTAGTCTCTTGTTCCTAACTCCCATCAGCCATAGTTCCCTACTTCTCTGGATGGATAAATCTTTGCGTCATCCTAAATTCATATGTTGAAATCTAATTTCTAAGGGGCTTTGGACTTTGAAGAAATGACTGGGTAGAGCCCAAGGGATTAATGCCCTTATAAAAGAGGCCCAAGGGAGCTTGTGTGACCCCTTCTACCATGTGAAGACATACTGAGAAGGTGTTATTTAAAAACTGAGAGTGCAAATGCCTTCATCTTAAGCTTCCAAGCCTCCACAAGCCTGAGAAACATATCATACTTATAAGCTACTTCCTTATATAACATACTTACAAACCACTTATAAATTATAACATATTTATAAGCTGTCTATGTGATTTTGTCCCAGCTGCCCACATACCATGAGACAGTCATGATACCCTTAGTTCTTCCTTCTGCCTAAGTAGAAAATACTAAGCCTAACGAGAAAAAGAGATCAGAGACCCCTACCGAGGCAGCCCCATTAGTTGTTTCCCTTGTCAACAAATGTGTTCAAGGACCTCCTGGATTCAAGGGAGGGGAAACCTGGAAATCCTGGTCTCTAAAGGGATTTCCTCCCACTTTCCTCGGGGAATATCAGAGAATGAACAGCACCAAGTATCCCCTGATCAAGGCTTATATCTGGCCTAGTGTGCAACTGCAGCCCCAGTTGGCAAAGGGCCAGACAGCTAGTCCTACTGGAGCATCAGAAAGGCTGTTAGCCAGAGTCAAGAGAAGCAGACAATGCTCTGGGCACCTTCACATCTTAGAAGCAGTGAAGCCATGGCACAGTCTAGAGATACAAGAAGGTTTTAAACAGGTCATAGTCTCATACCAACAAGTCAAGCAATAGGAATTGAGCTGATCTGTTATTTAAGAGGATGCTGGAAGTCAAAGATGTATGTCAAAGAGATTACTTCTATCTACACTAAAAAAAAAAAAAAAAGTCTAGCCAGGTGCCAGTGGTTCACGCCTGTAATCCTAGCTACTCAGGAGGCTGAGATCTGAGAATCACAGTTTAAAGCCAGACCGGGCAGGAAAAGTTCATGAGACTCTTATCTCCAATAAACCACTCAGAAAACCGGAGGCGCTGTGGCTCAAGTAGTAGAGCGCTTGCCTTGAGCAGAAAAGCTAAGGGACAGTGCCCAGGCCCTATACTATGAAGGAAGTCCCTTCATAGTCTAGCCCTGATGGAGCATTTCTCTGGAGCCAGTAGGCCTTTTTTCCCTCCATCCACAGAGCTCTTGTCTGGAGAGCAAATTCTTATTCACAAAGTTGCACCTATATTCTTCTCGTCCCGTTTTCCTCAACCTTTTCTATCAGCCTTCTTTTGAGACATCTTAGTGCTGGATTTCATTCAGGTTTTTTGAGTTAGGTATTAGAAGTACCCTCGTTCTTTTGATTCTCCTTTGACTTGGACTTCTTTTTTTTTTTTTGACAGTCATGGGGCTTGAGCTCTGGGCCTAGCTCAAGACTAGTGCTCTACCACTTAAGCCACAGCACCACTTCTGGCTTTTTCTGCTTACGTGGTGCTGAGGAATGGAACCCAGGGCTTCATGCATGTAAGCACTCTACCACTGAGCCACCTTCCCAGCCCCAAACTTCATTGTCTTTAAGCAATTGCACAAAGAAGTTTCAATTCAGCATGCCAATTTATGAGTACAATGCATCTTGATCAATGTCACCCTCTGCGTCATTCTCCCCCATCTCTCTCAATTCCACCCATCTCAAATTACCTGGCTCCATTTTCACTTATATACACTGCATATTATGATAGCATTTTCCCACTCTTCCTCTCTCCATCCATCTGTTCTCCTTTCCTTGCTCCCTCCCTCCAACAACATATATTACAGCTTCTGATATTTATTTTATTAAAACTGTAAGTTAGTTGTTTAAAGGAATCATACCATTACAATCCTCCCCTAAGTGTGCCATAATACCTTAATGTTATATGACTGACATGTTTAGTTAACAAGTTATACGTTGTGTATGTATAAGCATATGACCCATGGGCTGGGAAGGTGGCTCAGTGGTAGAGCACTTGCCTTGCATGCCTGAGGCCCTGGGTTCGATTCCTCAGCACCACATTAGCAAAAAGAAAAAAAGCCAGAAGTGGCGCTGTGGCTCAAGTGGTAGAGTGCTAGCCTTGAGCTGAAGAGCTGAGGGACAGCGCCCAGGCCCAGAGTTCAGGCCCCACGACTGGACCCCCCCAAAAAAAGCATATGACCCAGTATATGTTTTCATGTAGTTATAATTTAGAGATCATTTCCATGTAAGAGAAAACGTGTCCTTTTGTCTCTTAGCATATTTTTTTCCAAGTCCATCCATTTCCCTCTCAAGAATTTTTGCTCCAGACTAGCTTCGAATTGTGATGCTGTGTAACTAGAATTCTAGGCATGAGCCACCATGACTGGCTGGTGTTTTAGTTTCTAAATGCTCATTCTTTTCAACAAAGGTAATTGAACTAGACCTCTACCCCAAAGCTGCTGGACTTGGCCAGAAAAGTGTGTCCTGGAGCTCCTACCTTTACCCTGCACCAAACAAACTGGTTTAATTTGATGACAGAGAATGATGACCATTTCTGCTTGTCTCCTTTACCCCTTCTCTGTGGCCCTTCTAAGAGAAAGAGGAAACCATGAGATGTTCCAGGCATTCTTGCACAACAATCCCCAGGTCTGGGTTCAGGGTCTTAGCTGGAGAAGAAACAATCCACTCTGGCTAGCTTATATATAAAGTGCAATTTTCAGGACAGAGATGGCTTACAGCATTACTGCAAAATCTTGAGGGAAGAGTCTAGGCTGAGAGTCCAATAACATCCCCCAGATTTGCACAGCTAAGGAGCTTGAGACTCGGCAACCTCAGGGAACTGCTATATCGCAAATCCACCATCTTGGTTTCTGCCACCCACTCTCAAACCAACTGTCCCCATGCTATGTCTCCTCCCTCATGACTCACTTGCCAAAAAGAATTCTGATGTGGCACCACAGTCACTTGATGGAACCCACTTCACATAACTGTTGCCAAGTAACGAGAAAGGCTAGAAAACACAAGGAAGATAACCTAGAAGGGAAAAAAAAAAACCTTCTGGATATATACACCTGACCAAAATTGGACCAGAAAAAAAAAGAACATCTGTGCAGACCAATAATGAGTAATAAGATTTGAGTCAGCAGTAAGCAAGTCATCAAAGAGAAATCCAGGATCAGATGACCTCACTGCTACATTCTACCAAACAAGAACTCAGACCAATGATTCTTAAAAATTAATCTAAAAGATGGAAATGGAGGGAATTCTTCTGAATTCATCCTTAGGTCACTCTAATACCAAAACTAGACAAAGAAATGACACAACAAAACAAGAAAGTCATACGTCAATATCAATGATGAATAACAGGTACAAAAAATCTTCAGCAAAATATTAGCAAACTGAATGTAACAGCACAATAGCAGAACTATTCACTGGGATGAAGTTGGATTCCTCCAGGATATAAGAATACTTCAGTGTTCACAAAATCAATCAATAAATGCAACACAACTCATTGACAGCATGCAGGAGGGAAACCATACGATCATCTGAAGAGATAGGGAGAAAGCATTTGATAAAATTCAACATCTCTGCAAGATAAAAGCTCTGAAGAACTTAGGTATAGAAGAAACATACCTCAGCATAAAAAAGTCAATATTTAATAAGCCAGAAGCTAACAATACTGAATGGAGAAAAATAACTAAAAGCTTTTCACAGTAGCTAAGAAATGAGGGGAAAAAATGTCCTTCAATTAAGGACAATTGAGTGGATCAAGAAAACATGGTACTTTTAGTGTTTGGCCATAACAATGAATGAAATCCTGTCATTCATGACACACAGATGGAACTGGAAAAATTATATTAAGTGAAATAAGATAGGCAGAGAAAGAAAAGCACCACAAAATCTCATTCATGTGTAGATTATAAAACAGTTGATCTCACTGGGCACCAGTGGCTCATGCCAGTAATCCTTGCTACTCAGGAGGCTGAGTTGGAGGAAGGTGCTTTAAAGCCACATATCTCATGGACAGGAAAGTCCATGAGACTCTTACCTCCAAATTAACCAACAAAAAGCTGGAAGATGAGCTGTGGCTCAAGTGTTAACCTTAAGCAAAAAAATCTTCAGGGCCAGAACACAGGTCCTGAGTTCAAGTCCCAGGATTGACAGGTGCATACACACGCACACGCATGTGTGCGCACACGCGCGCGCACACACACACACACACACACACACACGCAGAGCTGATCTCATAGAAGTTCAGAGCAGATTGTGGTTAGGAAAGCAGAGGGGAGGGGGGAAGGGACAGAAGGGTTGGGGTTGAACAATGAGTGCTGAGTTTCAGTAAGGAAAGAACAACTTCTACTATACTGTCTCACAGTAGGGTGACTACAGATAAAAACTATGTTCTATATTTCAAAAAGCTAGATGGAAGGGATTTGAGTGTTTTTCATCATAAACGATAAGTAACTGAGGAGCTAGTTACGTATAACCCACTTTGGGCACTGGTAGCTCATGTCCCAAATCTGAGCTATTCAGGAGGCTAAGAGCTAAAGATCATAATTTATCTCTAATTAATCAGCAAAAAGTCTTTAGTAGAGGTGTAGCTCAAGAGGTAGAGCATCAGCCTTGAGTAAAAATGCCAAAGAAGAGGGCAAGATCCTGAGTTTAAGTTCTAGTGCTAACACAGAATTAATAATGAATATAACGTTTTAAACATGGAGTTTCATTGCATTTTTGTTTGGGGTTGTTTTTTAGTACATGGTATTGGGGGTTCAACCAATGTTTTCAAGCATGCTAGGCAATCTCTCTGCCACCAAGCTACAGCACCAGCCTTACAGAGGAGTACTTGTGTTGATGATGGTTGTAGATTCTGCACTAGGAAGGACATGATTCTATAGCAAACTGCTGAATGTGAGGAGAGCTATGAAGATGTTTAGAACAGCCAGGAATGACAAGCTATCTACTACCCTGTGGATCTACAGTGGGTTACAAAAGTTTTTCAAGACCCTAAACCCTACAAGCAGGAAATTTAATGAGAAATGATACATCTCTGAATATATACAAGTTACAAATGATCAGCAAATGAAAAACAAACAAAAAAACACTAATCTATCTGAAATACTCATATTAACAACAGGCTATCAACAATCTGATTTCTCCTGAACTAAAACATTATCCTCTTCACTTTCTGCAGTTCATGAAACATCCCTGAAACTATGCCCACAAACATGGGCATGACTACCCACAGTACCTTCTCACTAGCTACTCTGCTGCCTGGCCTGTGCATTCATGCGTGCACAGCCAGGCACACAAGTAACCTATCCACTGTAACCCCCATGGGTTACAGGTTCATTTTCTCACTGGCAATCAAAGCCATTCCAACAGCAATCCAGCTTTTGTCTGCTCAGGTCTTGGGGCCCTTTTGTGTTCTCCTTTAGTCACACAACTTAGTCCCTGACTAGTTTTGCAAGTGACTGAGAGGAAACAGAAAGAGGTGGGGTTACCTGATTGAGGAGACTCCTAAGTGACAGAGCTGAAGGAGTCTGGCTCCTTGTACTTTCATCCCTCTTTACCACATACTCACTCTGGCTGCAAAAACTCATTTGCAATGCTGAGATTTGTCAGGAACAGAACTCAGTGAAATAAATGTTGATCCACATTCCCCAATCCCACTCCAGAAAAAAAAATCCTAACAATAAATGCTTACTTGTTTACAAGTGGAAGGCTAAGGGTCCAGCCAGCAGCAAAGTCTGGATATTTAAAAACTGTAGGATTTTCAGAAAAGGCATAATGGTGAATTATTGTCGATTCTTCATCATATAATGCTTTCCCTAAAAACCATTCCTGTTGGACAAAAATAAAAAATACCATTAAAAATCTACTTCATATAAGATCAAAAACAAAGTTACATCATTAGTTAATTAAATATCTTTGAATGATAATTAGCACAGACTGTATATTTCTACAAAGTTTGAACAAAAAATATAATACTGTTATGAAAATGAATATATTAATTTTCATATGGAAGAAACTCAGGATCAGACCACCAGGATGAACAAAACATAAGTCACTGTCTACCATAATGTATAAGACTGGTATTTTATAGAATATTCCATATGAAAATGTTCCACTTCCATTAGGAAGCAGAAGTGTGGCTCAGCTAGTAGAGTATCAGCCTTGAGCAAAGAAGCCAAACAAGAGTGTGAGGCCCGGAGTTCATGACCTAGTACTAGCACCTAAACACAAAAGAGAAGAAAAGAAAGAAGAAGGAAGAAGGAAGGGGGAAGGAGGAAGGGAAAGGGAGAAGGGGGAAGGAGAAAAAGGAGAAGAAGAAGGAAAAGGAGAAAAGGAGGAGAAGGAGAAGGAGAGGAGGAGGAGAAGGAGAAGGAGAAGGAGAGAAGGAGGAGGAGGAGGAAGAAAGTAGCAGCAAAGAGTCAACTGAGCCAAAAATCTGAAGGAGTAGGAATAGTTAATGCAAAGTCTCTGAGGTGGGATAATGCTCCATACATTCACAAAGGAAGTATAGAATAGACAGCACATACACAATGAAAAAGACAGGGTGGAGGCAGACCAGGGCAGCCTTTCTGTGCTAGAGGACAAGAATACAGACTTTATTCTAATTCTTTATTAGTCTTCTGCTTCTGGCCACACCAGAATAGCCTGGATCAGACCTATACAAGAAATCCAGATGCAAATGCTGAATAGATATATAGAGCAAATGATCAAAGACATCAGAAAACTACAAAAGCAGATAGGACACACATACTGGAAAACAGTTCCAGAAAACCTCAAGGGCACAGATATGGACTATTTTATTCATTTTAGTTGTCCCAGTAGGTTTAACATGTAATGGATACACCACAGATTTCTTCTTGCTCAAAGTGGTGCTCTATCACTTGATTCAAACCTCCAGCCATTGATAATTTTTTTGTTAAGTAAGTAAAGCAAGTCCCTAAAACTAAAGGAACTAAAACATTACATTTAAATTAAGTACTCTGAGCCAGGTGCCAATATTCATGCCTATAATCCTAACTTCTTAGTAGACTGAGATTTGAGGACTGCAATTCAAAGGCATCCTGGATAAGAAAGTCCATTAGAGTCCAATTAGCCAGCTGTGGTTCATATGGTAAGAGTGCCAGCTTTGAGCCCAAAAAACTAAAGACAACATTCATGCCCTGAGTGTAAGCCCCAGTACATACACACACACTCACAATACACACATCATAACATAATCGAGTACCCTAAGTTCTAAAGGTTTTCTATACTTTCTTTCTTATACAAACAATGCCGCCTTACTTTCTTCTTCAGGATATAAAATCAGGAAAGGCACAGTACTAAGTCAACCTAAGCCTTTTTTAAGATCCTTATTGGGCAAGTGATTGTATCTCAAATTCCTCCTAGAGTCCTACTTTTGGTCAATCCAGCAACAGGGCAATGGACAGTGTGACAGCTATCGACATAACTTTATGTGCAGATTCAAAGTGTTATTCTTGATACTCTGCCTAGAAACAGCCAATACCAGAGAGAAGAATGTCCAGTAGTGATCAAAGCAAAGGACCTCAGCTTAAGATGGAAATTTCTATTGCTTTTTTAAAAAATCAATCTTATAGCACTTTATCAAATTAGTAAACCTCCACCATCATAAAAACACTCGATTTGCCATACCAATGGGAGGGCACCTGCCTAACCAAAATAGTTTATAGAAAGAGATCTTCTTACTAATATTTCACTGTTAAAACTTCTTGTTCCAAACATAATGTTATGTAAAACTTGTTCTATTTTATCTCCTAATTGCAGTGTTCAGCTACTGCAGCACCTGAAATTTTTTCAGCATTTTTGTGGAGGATTATAAACTGTTGTAAGAAAAAAATTAACATAGAATCTATGGAAAGAGCCACTCAACCCCAATACTGTAAAAGAAAAATAAACCCTGGGTACAGCATTGTGTGCATAATCCCAGTTACACAGGAGACACTGGTAGGAGGATCGGAGTCAAAAGCCTGTCCCAGGTCTTATCCCCTATCTGAAAAATAACTAAAGTAAAAAAAAAGGGGGGCTAAGGGTGTGACTCAAGTGACAATATACTTGTCTAGCAAGCAAGAAACTGAGTTCAAAACCCACTATTACAAACAAAAAAGAAAATCTATCAACCACTTTTCCAAATATAAACGTATTAACAGCATACTGTAGAGCTGGACATGTGGCTCATGCCTAGATATCAAGAGGCTGAGACTTGGAGGATAGTAGTTCAGCCCTGCCAAAAAAAAAAAAAGAGCCTCAAACTCTGCCTCCAAAACAATCAGCAAAAAAGCAAAATTGGCTGAGAGCACAAGGCACTGAGTTAAAACCCTGGAACCAAAAATATAAACTAAAAAACAAACAAAACACATAAAACTGTGAAACAAAAAAGGAAGACTTAAATTTCTTAGATTTAATATCTGTTTCTTTAATAAAGATGAAATTCATACATTTAAAATATTTAACTACTTAAATTTAACCTTAAGGAAAAATATCAAAGTCAAACAATATGCTGGATGCTCCAGTATATTATACAATTATTGTTTTAATGTGGCTTATTTGCGTCAATACCAAAGCCAGGTTCACTTTATGCATTTTTCCTAAAATTTCGAATGGTACAGGGACAAAATATAGAGTGGTCTGAGCTCACTTCAACATTATGGAATTGTTATTCCTTACCACTAGTTTCAAAAGACATGAAGCACCCTCTTCCCCATGGGAAAATTCAGAAAAGTGGGGAAATGTCTCACTTTACCTCTGTTCTGAACTTGCTTTTCATGAACTTACTTTGAACCATTACATTTATCATTCCAATTCTCATTAAAAAGCACAGTGAGTCACCATTCCCTGTACAGAAGTAGAGCCAGGGATAATAGAAGAATAATCTCCAGGTGAAAGGAACACTAGAGGAAGGTTGAAACTCCTACATCCTACAAAATATCTGGGAGTTTTTCTCAAGTCAAAAGCAAACATAAAAGCCTAACAAATGGTTTACATAAAATATAGCAATGAAGTACACAGATACTGGTTGACATCCTCTCAAAAGACAGGATGAGACAGACTCATAATTCTCTTCTTTGAAGACATTATTTTTCTTCACCTAATGACCTTCTCATCCAATTATAACTTCAGCTTCTCAGAAATCAAAAGCACAAAGAGAAATCATAATGGATCCTTCCAGCATTTCAAGATTATCAAAACCAGTGGTTTTCATTACAGTAACAGAGTAGCCCATATTGAAGAAACCAATCTTACAACCACTGCTGTCCAACTTTTTCAGCTACATCAACAAACCAAGCAGGTGCCTGGAGCTTGGATTGCCTTTCCCAGACCCTGCATGTCTGGAATGGGTGTCTGGATGGCGCAGGTTTCTAGTGGTATCAGAGAGGGCATGGTTCTACTTATCTCAATTGGATCTCATAAGTGATTAGGAATCATATAAGTAATCAGAAATGTACTAATGATCAGTTTATAGCCTTGGCTTCTTTAAAAGACTGAAATGGTCTGATTTCCTTTTGACTTAAATCTCCTATGCAGCCCTCTGCACCTACTAAGCCTTTGAATACAGCATAACCAAAAAGCTGACATTTTAGGCTTTTCAGTCATTCACATGTTCATTGACCATCCCCTAAGCATTACATATTCTGCTCAAGGATAGAGATACAGAAACCAACAATGCTCTGGTTACTGAAAGCAATGGTGAATTTCACAAAGTCCCTCTAGAGCAAAACTTCTCCCTTCTCCCTTCCAATCCTATTCACAGTGTTCCCTCTACCTTCTAACCTCCTCCCCTCCTTCTAGGCTAACTACTGCTCTCTGGTAGGACTTAGATTAAGTTCCATTACCTCTGCTTCCCAAAATAAATTCCATAGACCTGTTACAGGCACCTAAGAGCAATTCATTCCTTTTATAGAAGAAGTCATGGATAACTATAACTGATTCATTTTAGTCTGCTGTATCCCACTCTTCAATGCCAGTCACATGGTCAGGATCCCTGACAGTTTCATTTTAGCCTCTGCCATCTACAATGTCCAACAAGCCATCAGTACTCAAAAAAAATTTCTATACAAAATAATATGGGTACTTACTGATGATGAAAAATAACCAATCTATGTTTAGTTCTAGAGCAAATCATTTCTGAACTATAGGAATAGTCTGTTAGCTCTCTGAACTCCCTAACACATATAAGCACAGTTTTTCCCTTAAAATGGCTTATTATATGGCACACCCTCTGGAAGCTATAAACCTCACAGAGAATTTTATACAACGGAGCTTCCAGATACCCAACTATTATTTCAATCAATTTGTGTGTGTGTGTGTGTGTGTGTGTGTGTGTGTGTGTGCGTGCGCACACACGAACGCACTAGTCCTGGGGCCTGGACACTGTCCTTTAGCTTTTTTGCTCAGGTTCCTGCTCTACCACTTGAACCAAAACTCCACCTCAGCCTTATTTTGTGGTTAAATGGAGATAAGAATCTCATGGACTTTCCTACCTGAGCTGGCTTCAAGCTGCTGTCTTCAAATCTCACCTAGCCATTCATTTTAATTTTAAATTAAGTGCTCTTATTAGACTCAACCACCTCTTAATCAAAATTAATTTTTTTGAAGTTCTGTCTCCGAAGTATAAATATTGGTGTTGAAGGTGTACTCACCTTAGATGAGTCATATTTCCTGAGTATTTCTAAGAGCTTTGGAATTTTGATCCTTGTCTCTTCTTCACAGAAGAAAATCCATGATGAATTTCTGGTATATGCTACAGAAAAACTGAAAAACAGAAGTTACAATAATCATCTCTATAAAACCAGCTTATAATAAGATTTAACACTGATACATAGGAAACATGAAATGCAAATGCAAAGGACAAGACAGCCAAATTGTTCTCCCTCTATAGTTTTCTTCAGTGTACTGCAATTCAACTTATAGGAAAACTAGATATTAGTGGTCCACTAATCAGAACTCTTTACATAATTCCTTCCATAACACCACCTATTTAGAAGTCATAATTTCAAATATCAACTTGAAGCTTTTCAACTTTTAAGAAAGAAACACAGCCAGGTGCTAGTGACTCACTCTTGTAATACCAGATACTCAGGAGCCTGAAATCTGAGATTGTGGGTCAAAGCCAGCCCAGGCAGAAAAAGTTTGTGAGACTCTTATCTCCAGTGAATCACCAGAAAACCAGAAGTAGTGCTGTGGCTCAAATGGTTAGAGTATTAGCCTTGAGCAGAAAAAGCTCAGGGACAGCGCCCAAGCCCTAAGTTTAAGCCCTATGACTGACAAGAAAAAAAAAAAGAAAGAATGAAACACAAATGAAAATAAATCTAATACATGATTAAGAACCAATCTCAAAACAATCTGGTTAATGTAATAATAATAAAAAGTGAAATTGCTTTCTGAGGAAAAATACACCATCTTAATAAGAAAATTAGGGAGCACAAAAGTGTTGAGGAGGATTATGTGAATTTTATACACATTTTGAGTAAAATGCACGCACTGTGGTAACAATGGAAGGATGGTCCAAGCACCTTCCTGCTTTGTCAGCTGGTGGATAAGGACTACTCTGGGGAGTTCCTGAAAATACAAGATCAAAGAGATAATGAGAATACACCTGGCCTCTCCAAAAACAAAATGATAAAAAAGCCACAAATAAAACATAATAAAATAAAAACTCCAACTACATGTAGAGACTTGACATATCTACACACCATTTTTCCCCTCTACCTCTGCCTCTCTCTGTCTTTCTCTCTCTTGTCTGCTTTAGAAGCTACTGCAAGTGAAGTCTCTCTGCTAAATCCATACAGCCTTTCTCCACAAATCCAAGCCAGCCCCTATAAACCCAAGACCTACAACAAGGGTCTTCAGTGATACTAGGCGCTAACAGGAAAGTCACAGATTTTTTTTTTTAAATAACTGGAAGGGAAGAGCCCAGAAGAAGTTTGGCAAGAATAACTCATAAGCTCAAAACTAGGTACAATCTATATATAATGTATATAAAAACATGTTAATTAAAACACTTTGACTAATCAAGAAGACAGACTATCTAATCTATCTCATGCAAAAAAAACACTTGTTGAAAGTTCTCTAAAAATATATGGTGCACACCTTTATAATCACAGTACTAGGGAAGTAAGGCAGAGGCAGGAAGATCATAAATAAGAGACCATCCTGAGCTACACAGTGTATCCCTGTCCCTGTCACAAAAAAAAAAGAAAATATCTGAGTATCTTTGTGTGTGTGTGTGTGTGTATGTGTGTGTGTGTTAGTAAAAGGGCTTGAACTCAAGACCTTGGACATTGTCTCATAGCTTTTCTTTCAAGGCTAGTGCTCTACTATTTGAACCATTCTTCTACTACTAGCTTTTGGCGGTTAATTGGAGTTAATATCCTCATGAAGCTGGGAACTGGTGGTCATGCCTATAATCCTAGCTGAGGCTGAGATCTGGGCATCACAATTCGAAGCTAGCCCAGGCAAGAAAGTCTGTGAGATTCTTATCTCCAATTAACCACCAGAAAACTGGAAGTAGTGCTGTGGCTCAAAGTGGTAGAGCACTAGCCTTAAGTGAGAAAGCTTAGGGACAGCACCTGAATTCAAACCCCAGGATCAACAGCAACAACAACAACAACAGCAAAAAGTCCCATGGACTTTCCTGCCTAGGCTGGCTTCTACTGTGATCCTTAGGTCTCAACACCTTGAGTAACTACAATTATAGTAGTAGGCCACCAGTGCTGGGCTCTACGAACATCTTTAGAAGTGTTTTACCATTGAAACAACATACCAAGTCCAAATATTAGAAATAAGATCCTTAATGACTCAGGCAGTAAAAGAAGTAACAATGAAATTTAAGCTATGTATAAATACAGTACAATTATTGCTATACAGATATACACAGAGAGATTAATGTTTTGAAATTAAGAGTGTTAGCTCTGAAGTAAAGCAATTCTTACTACATTTCAACTGACTGAAAAGCCAAAACTCAGAATTTCAAGTCTGATGTATGTGAACCTACTCCCACACCAAACATTATATTACATATTTTATGCTAGTTATAAAACTATATTCCTGGTTACTGTCATTACAGACCAAAGAATTTAAGAACAAGTGTCTATATATCTGAAATGACAGAATGCTGATATGAATTCCCCACTGGTCTTTAAGTACATATATATTTATTAGTTGAGAACGGTTTTTAATATAAACCTTTGTGTTGACTATCAAATAAATCTCATGTCTTCTGTAGTATTTATTTCAACTTCCATGCACAAATATAAAATGTAAAACCAGAGGCTAAAGGTTAAATCAGACAAACACTGTGGCATGTTAAAAAAAATAAAGCCTAACGGCTGAATTAGCAGTTACCCAAGATTAAAGGATATAAATAATTCAGGCTTTCCTTCTGTTGCTTCTGAATTATGCAGTAATTTTCATTGTCTTTTAAAAATTGCAATATACAGCTATACTCACATATATATTCATGAATGATTGTGTAAGAGCAAAGAGTCATTTGTAAAGAAACTAATGACATTACTATTTGCATAAAACTGAAATTACAGGTGAATGCTAATGTGAACTATACAAAAAAGAAATATAACAAATACTTCTAAAATGTTACATGAAAATAAGTACTAATTAGTTACAAAGTAGCAATTAAAATTAAGATTAAAACTTTATAACAATAAAAATGTTTTTATGTTAAGTGAGAAAACAGAACTGATCCAACAATAGAAAAAATTCCTAAGTGAAGAGAGACTAAGGGAACCAGCAAATGGAAATACCGGTGTCCAGATGACAGAATGATGGGCTGTCTGATTTTAAAATTCCTTGCATCATTAAAATACATTTAAACTTTTTAAAGAATTGAAAGAAAATAAAGACACCTCTAAAATTTACTTGCAAACAAGTACTGCAGGCCAAGGTACATGATATGTACAATACTAACAGATACTAAAGTATCTGGCTGCCTTTACTTCAAGGGCTTTCTGGACAGAGACTAGAAAACAGGCTTAAAAACAATAAAACTACCAGGCTTCTGTGGCTCATGTCCATGGCTCATGCCTATAACCCTAGCTACTTAGGAGGCTGAGATCTGAAGATCATGGTTCAAAGCCAGCCAGGACAGAAAAGTCCTTGAGACTTATCTCAGCAAAAAGCCAGAAATAGAGCTCTGGCTCAAGTAGTTGAATGCTAGCCTTGATAGAAAAAAAAAGTCACTGGGTAGACCATTAAGAAGAGTTTTCAAATTAATACTTAAGGGGAAAGTAAGAAGAAATAGCAATACTACCAAAGCTGCTTGGAATAAAAGCCTGTAAAGGGATTTCTTCATGCAGCTGTCACCCAAATGACACCTAATCCCCAGGTCATGGCACTATTTCAAATCTAAATGGCAATGTGAAATTCTGTCCACAATGAGATAATGCCACAACATAGGCAAGTGTAAAGGAACTAAAAACACAAATGCTGAAATGTGAGTAAGGCAGAGGAAATGTCCATCCTTTGCTTCTCTGAATCAGTCTACTTTTATTTACACCATCAGCATTTGCTGGTATCGTACTCACTTTAAAAAAAGAGAAAGCCTAAATTCCCACAGAGACAGTGTCAGCACTTCCTATGAATGCATTTGTTACTAAGGTACATGTACACAGTGAAAGTAGCTAGAAATTACTGAAAGCAAACAAATGTAAAAAAACAACAATCTAATTCATTAGTAGGTTCTTACACATATTGATCATTTCCAATTTGGAAAAAGGGGTTCGATTCCAATGTCACAGCTGAGTAATCTCAAAGTATTTTGCAAACAAAAAAAAGCCCATGATTTTTTATTACTATTTTTTAAGTAGCTGTACAAAGTTTCAATTCAACACGTCAGTTTGTAAGTACAATGCCACTTGATCAATGTCAGACTTTCCATGATTGTTGATATACAGGAGGAACTAGGAAAAAATATAACTAGAAATATTAATAGCATGAATGAAGTTAACATTTAAATATGGAGTAAAATAAGTGAATATTTAAAATACTGTAAGTAATTATTTGGCAGATTTGTTTTGAACCAATTTTCCTGTTTCTGTTAGAAGAGAATTTAATGGCTTAAGTCCACCTGGCTGGTCTCTCCTTTTGTCAGCAGACTTTCCTAGTACTTGTTACCTGCCTTTACCTAAATTTAAGCCTAGAAAAATCACGATGAATGTGTCGCCTTGTGATTCAGAGCAAGTGTTAAATGAGAAAGAGCCAATACATTTCGTTAAGGACTAGGCAAAGATTCTAAATGACTGAAGTTCATTTCAAGACTGTTTCCAACTCAACTGCAATTCCAAATCCCAACTATTCTATAGTTGTTAGACACTGAACTGAGTTTTAAGGCAATAAATAAATCACAAAGAAAATTAACACGTTTATTGCTATAATTTCTTCCATAACAGGAATGTACATCTTATGAAGATAAAAGAGAAATATGATGTATTGTTTGGAACATATAAGAGACAGATTTACTAGTCTTTACAACACAGTATTCATTTATAGACCAGCAGATTATAAGTGATGTCATTACAATATACTTTTCAGGAATCTGAGTCAACATTTAAAAATATATGTATGTGTGTATGTTTTTATATATGCTTTTCCAAATACTTGTCTTACTTCTTTCCCAAAAAGAAAAAATATTAGTTCATTATACATCTTATTTTACAAACTATTTACTTCAATATGTATTACTCAGTATACTTTATAGTACAGATAAATTAGTTTAGCTCATCATTCCCTCACTCACAAAAGCAATAAATCATTGGTGTTTAAGGAGACAAAACACTGCCATTTGAACGCCAGCTCTATTTTCTTTGCAACATGTGACCTTGAGCAAGTTCTCTGACCTAGCCATAGCCCTGTTACCATGTTCTCTAATGACATATCAACAGTTCTGGGGTCAAGGGAAATAATACATGCCAAGAACTTGACATATGGCAGATACATGCCAGCTATTCACATTGTTGTTGTTTCTACAATATTTTGGAGGAAATGCTACGTGCCAAACATGAATCTAGGAGCACAGTAAAAACTAGGGAGCTGGGCACTGAGGGCTCCCATCTATAATCCTAGCTACTTAGGAAGCTGAGATCTGCAGACCATGTTTTGAAGCCAGCCAGAGCAGAAAAGTCCATGACACTATTATCTCCAATTAACCATCAAAAAGCCAGAAGTAGAGGTATGGCTCAAGAGGCAGAGTACCATTCTTGAGCAGAAGCCAAGAAAGAGTGTGAGTCCCTGAGTTCAAGTCCCAGTGTCAGCACATGTACACGTGCCCACGTGCGCACGCGCACGCATGCACACACGCACACGCACGCACACACACACACACACACACAAATGCAGGCAGAGATCTGTCTTCTTGGGTTTCACTTTCTAATGAAGGAAGCAATAAGCAAATAAATCCACAAGAGAATGTCAGGAATAAATGTTACTACAACATAAAGCTAGGTAAAAGACATCATGAATAGGTCACTGTTTACTAGGGAACCTGGAGCTCCTCTCACATAGTTGCCCAAGCTGATGTGCTGCTTGGGAGATTCCAGTCTTTACTG